CAGAAAATAGGCTCATCAACAAAATCAGACATGTATTCGACCTTTCGAAATGGGAGTGATGGTTATAACACCAGAATCGAAGGAGATTACCTCGTAAGCAGCGTTAGCATGAATGTTCCAATAAAGCCAATCGACAGCTGTTCAGGAAGTATCCACCGTCGTTTTCTGGTGGAATCGACCTTCGAATCTCTTCACCAAACACCTTCACCCGAAATGGAAGTAAGCACAACAATTACGAGCATATAGTATGGGTGAATACACCAGAACAGGAATGACCACAATTGTTTGGCAGACAATTGGTCAAAGAATTAACTTTATTTATCTTTGGCGCGTTGTGGTGTGTCGCAAAGGCGAGCAAGGCACACTGACGCTGCCGGTGAAGTGTCTGGGATTGTACCAATTCCACGTTATGACTCCGCGAATTATGATACTTACTGTAGCAAAGGACTTCGGACAAGGTGCAATAAACTTAGTCGCCCTGACAACATGACTAAGTTACGAAAATGAGGTCAGCCCACTTCTATATATCTAAAGAACACTACAACCATACTCAACGCCACGCCATCTTGGTCTCCATATCTTCTATGTCAGATTAGGCCCATCAACCAAACAAGGCGAACGGGATTAAGCATCCCCAGTCTTGCCTTTTCTTGGGTTGTTTAATATTTACAACTCTAGATTGAAAGGGTTATGGTTTACACGCTTATAAACTTACATCTCATTATCTAAACTAGACACGCTTACGAACTTACACAGTCTCGATCGGCGTTTTTTCTTGAATCATTAAGAATTGATGAGCGGAGCCTGTCATTAGACTTTTTTGATAATTGCCATAGGATCGGTATTGCTCATAGACTCTAACACACACGCACAGATTTGAGTAAAGGTAATATAACCTAGATCAATAATTATTAGTCTATGTCTATCTTTACCCTTCCATTTTCGTTTCTCTGTTAAGTGAATTTAGGAAGTAAAATAGAGCCGAATAGTCTTCCTGACTTAGTGTTTGTTAACGTGAAACTTTTACAAAAATTAGTTCCAGCTCTGATGATGTCAATCAGCCAATTTTCATCAGAAAGGAGGAGGGATGTTTTATGGATTGCTTAAAACTTAACTTTATACTAAAGCCATGCCTCTTCATTACAACGGAAATCAGCCGTTGTCTTTTGATGAAATCGACCTTCAAATCTCTTGATGCACTTTCATGCGAAATGAATGCCTCCCCAACAATGTTATCTCAGAATATTAGTCAAAACCCAGTTTTATTCGTTTCTACATCTATTCTTTGTTATGTAATAATATGGGAAGCCATGTTTCATTTGGTCTAATATTTCGCTGGGTTTAAGACGAGATTAATTGGGGAAAACCAATATTTACTCAGTGCAAGGTGAGTTAATCACATTTTCAAATTTTACATTAAATACTGTCACAGAAACTAATGTATGTAAATAACCACAACCCTACGCTTATTATCTATGCTACAGCGGCTCTCGCTTTGACAGATTAGTTGTAGAGATGTAATCTTTACTAATAAATCATAAGAATATGAAGTGCACACAAACAGCATCGGAAATATCTTTAGTTTATAAGTAGGATTTTGAGACTGCCATCATCTTATATAGCATCATAGCTTATTGATTTAAGGCAAATAAAAATGTTGAATTTAAAATAAAGCTAGCCGAGTGATCATCTTTGCAATATGGGAATGTTATAAAGTTAAATGCGAAAAGCTTGAATAAATCATTCTATTATGCTATTCAATAGTTCCTCTATTATTGCTAAGCTATTCTGATCTTAGCCTTATCTAGCCCCCCTCATGCCCTTTGATTCTATGATTAATAGATAGATTTTTATTAATTTATTTTAACACAGCAAATCCTAGTAAATCTCGATCATCTGCCGTAGACGCCGTCGCCTTAGCGAATGGCCGCCGTATCGAGGCTGCTTTCTCCAGTCACATTCACCGGGATTGCATAACAAAGTCAGGAAAAAAAGCACTTCTGGGGCCGGAAAACTGCAAAACTTGTTCTGCTCTTTGCTCTAAAGACAAGTTGGTTAATTCAGACACCAAAGTACACACCTGTAATTGTGCTTGCCACCGCATCGAGCGCGGCCTTCCCGCCGAGACAGTAGTTTTTGTCGGGCATGCTAATGTGATTCGCTATTTCATATGCCGCTGTCTACAATTGCCTCCCGAAGCGTGGCTACGCTTCTCCCTTGGGCACGGCAGTTTCACTCAGATAAACATATGGACCTCTGGTCGAGAATCGCCACACCACTGGCGCTTACAGGGGCCGTCAGGCGAGATTCATTGCATCGTTAGTGTTAATCGTATGGGGGACGTTGGGCATATGGACAGGCCTTTAATCTCATTTTAGTCTGTGTCCCGATCCTTGACATCACCCCTTATTTCGTATTTGTACAGGCCAAATCTATTCTTATCTTTTTCTTCGCATAAATGTTTCCTCATTTTTTTTCCAAAACATCCGTGTCACAGCTTTTCTTTGCACCAATCAATATCTACGTAACTAATCAGTCCACTTAGAAATATACAACTTATTCCAATTTTGACTTTTTTATATTGTGCGGGCTGCTTCTTATCATGAGTATTGATGATGCTTATAGTTTTTTTATAGGATTTCGGTATCAAAGAAACGTCCCAAGTGATGTCGAGATGCAGCGGGAAATTGCATAATATCAAACACATATGTGCTTTGAATTCAGTCTTATAGGAATTAGTATGGTTATTCAGCATATTAGACGCAGACTTTATGTAATTGTTATGAGAATTAATAATTAACAGTAAAAGACAGTCTTCATTCGGATGAATTAATTCGTTCAAAATCTTGTATTTTACTTTGGGCCATCAGATATCAATTAATTTATTAACTAAACCTACATGTAATCATTACGCAACATGCATTAGTACTACATAGTTACATTGAAGGTCATTTAGGAAAGGAAAGTGTTGGCTTCTAAGTAGGCTTTCGATATACTAGTAGATCATATATATGAAACGAGTTTAACCTTTTTATTCGTGATGCAGTTGAATTTTACCACAATGCTATAAGTATACCTTACGTTCCCATTGAATTTCACTAAAAAGCGTTGTCATCTAGGGTGGAATGCAATTCCGACCTCGCCTAGGTCTAATCGGCACCCCTAGCGGAACTCGAACCATGATAGTACAGCTTATAATCTCGACATGTCAACAGCCAGGTCACACGAGCGTCATTTAATAAAGGGGCAGATTTGAATTTCAGGGATGATAAAGCATTTTCGCACATCAATTATAAATTCAAACTATCTTCTCTACACAAATTTTCTTGCGAAATGAAAAGTCAAAATCCAGCTTTTTACCATAATTTTTTTCAAAGCGCAACAGGCTCTCTTTTGCATGCAAATCTAAGGAAAACAAACTTATTGTTAACCGCCTTGCATTTACTTCGTACATTGAAATTTTTAATTCCAAAAGGTAATGATTGGGGAATTTAGTATGTAATTTATGTTGATCAGAAAATGCTCTCTGTTAATTTGACTCATACTACTAGCCATTTTGTGGGTAATTTTGCATTTATTGAGGACAAAGCTAAGTACTAACGCTGTCCCAGTTCTTTGTATTATGTCCACAATACGATAATGGAAATTATCCTGATCTCTATGGCAGAGGACTCCGGAGAATTTGCGTTCGAACGAGTTGTTAAGATAGGGT